AATTAATGCATTCTGGAAAAGCCAGAGCTAAATAAAAATTTTGATTTTCAAATACAAGCCTCATGAGAATCATGAAAAGTTAAGCAGTAAAGATAAATCATAACAGACTTATTAAAGATGAGTTGTTTACATTCCTACATGGAAAGATGATATTTCTAACTCATGAGACCTTTCTCATTGCGAGGGTAGAAAGAGGGAGTATATACAGATATAGAGATATAGATACAGAAATAGACAAAGGGCACAGGGTGAGTGGAATATGAAGAGATGATGTCTAAAAAATAAAATTAAGGGGTGACAGAGGAATAGACTAGAAGACGGAGAAAGGGAGAGATAGAATGCAGTAAATTATCTCACATAAAAGAGGCAAGAAAAAGTTTTAACAGTGGAGGGGAAGAGGGGGAAGGTGAGAGGCAAAGATTGAATTTTACTGTCATTGGATTTGACTTAAGGAGAGAATAGTATACACACTCAATCGGGTATGGAAATCTATCTTACCCTACAAGAAAGTAGGGGAAGGGGGATAAAAGACAGAGGGGCAAGGAAGAGAATAGGATAAATAGAGGGCGGGATAAAGATGGAGGGAAATATATTTATTCTTTCACAACATGACTATTATGGATGTGTTTTGCATGACTACACATGTACAACCTATATCGAATTGCTTGCCTTCTTAATGAGGGTGGGTGGGAAGGAAGGAAGGGAGAGAATTTAGAACTTAAAATTTTAAAAATGAATGTTAAAAATTTTGTCTCCCATGTCATACAATCAATTCCAAAGTTCTTAAGAGAGACATTGAGCATGACCTCATATCACTTCTTCTCACCTTCATGTGAATGTTTGCCCTGTGTGAGTTCTCCATAAAATAATCTTTTTGGCAAGCAGATACTTGGCATTCAAACCATGTGGCCAGCACATCACAGTTGTACTCACTACAGTAGAGTTTGAGTGCTTGGCAGTTTAGTTTGAGAAAGGACTTCAGTGTCTGGTATCTTATCCTGCCAGGTGATCTTCAGAATCTTTCTAAGACAATTCAAATAAAAGTGATTCAGTTGGCTGGCATGGAGTGGGTATACTGTCCAGATTTCACAGGCATACAACAATGAGGTCAACACATCAGCTTTGCAGATCTTCAGTTTGGTAGTCAGTCTAATAATTCTTCTCTCCCACACTTTCATTCAGAGCCTCCCAAACATTGAGGTAGCTCTGGTAATGCGTTTGTCAACCTCATCATCAATATGTGCGTCCCTAAAATGTATACTGCCAAGTTAAGTGAACTTATCCAAAGCATTCAAGTCTTCTCTATTTGCTCTAACTGATGGTTCCATGTATGGATGCTGTGGTGCTGGCTCATGGAGCACCTGTGTTTTCTTGGTGTTAATTGTCCAAAATTAGCATAAGCAACAGAGAACAGATCCATACTTGGCTGCATTTCATCTCCAGAGGCCGCATTAAGTGCACAATCATCTCAGAACAAAACATCACGCACCAACACTGTGACTACAACTCCCGGTGTGTCTGCACCTGCTGCTTCATCATTTGCCTGTCACCACAGGGCTTTGAGATAGGAAAAATGGTAAAATGGCATGGGTGATGTCCTTTGATTCATATGTAAATTGCATTTAAGTGACAGAGCTGCATGAATTTGTCACTTCTCTTCCTCACTGTTGCTTCCAGAGACATCACAGTCCAGTGGCAGGGCAGAGTCAAGACAACTGGTGATGGATTGAGATGAGTGGATGACCTTGGCATCTTCAATGTCTAACCAAGCTCTAAGCACTCCACAATGATTACTTCAGCTGCCTTCATGGCTGTTGGAATAAATCATTCTCATCTGTCCATTCCATCAGGGGAAGTCTTCATAAACTTGGGGGAGACAACCCCCTAATTCATTGATGGGTTTGAAGAAATTTGTCATTTTTTGCAGCACAGTAGCATTACATTACAAATATATACCACAACTTATTCAGCCATTCCCCTACCAATGGAGATGCACTCAGTTTCAATTCTTTGCCAACCCTAAGAAAGCTGATATAAATATTTTAGAAAATATACATTTGTTTCCTTTTCCCTGATTACCCTGGGAAATAGACATAATGGTGGTCAAATTGTGCAGGTAGTTTTGTAGCTCTTTGAGTGAAATTCCAAACTTTTTCCAAAATGGTTGAATCACTCCACAATTACACCAACAATATATTAGTATCCCAATATTTCCATACCCCCTCCTACATTTTTCCTTTCCACCTTCTCTTCTTTCTGCCAATTTCAAAGATTCTTTTCATTTGCATTGCCCTAATCAATAAGAAAGAGGATACTTTATTAGCATATGGCAGGTAGAACAGCTCCTAACTCACTGAAAAAGGGATCTGGTTTCTAACTGGGGGTATAAGAGACAGCCATTTCATAATTACTCTTTTTCTTTTGTTACTCCTTTTTAGATTTTTTTTATTTTATTAATTTATTTTGATTTATCAACAATCACTTCCATATTCTTTTGAGTTGAAAATATTTCTCCCCCCTTCTCCCCCTCCCCCTCCCCAAGACTAGCACAATCTGATATAGGCTTTACATTTACATTCCTATTAAATATATTTTCACATTAGTGAAGTTAAAAGTAAAAATTAAAATCAACAGAAGGAACCATCAGAAAAATGAAACAAAACTCAACAGAAGGTAAAAATAAGTGATAGCGATTCGACTTCCATAGTTCTTTCTTTGGATGTTGGCAGCATTTTCCATCACGAGGCCTCTGGAGATGTTTTACATCCTTGTAATGCTGAAAAGGGTTCAGTTTAACAACATTAATCATTGCATGACGTGGCTGTAGTTGTGTACAAAGTCCTCTTGGTTCTGCTCACTTTACTCAGCATCAGACCATATAAGTCTTTCCAGGTTTTTCTGAAGTCAGCCTGCTCATCATTTCTTATAGCACAATAGTATTCCATTACATTCATATACCACAACTTGCTCAGTCATTCCCCCATTGAGGGGCATCCTCTCAATGTCCAATTCTTTGCCACCCCAAAAAGAGATCCTATGAATATTTGTATACATGTGGGTCCTTTTCCCATTAGTTTGATCTCTTTGGGATATAGCCCTAGAACTGCTATTGCTGGATCAAAGGGTATGCACACTTTTGTAGCCCTTTGGGCATAGTTTCAAATTGTTCTCCAAAATGGTTGGATCATTTCACAACTCCACCAACAATGTATTAGTGTTCCAATTTTCCCACATCTTCTCCAACATTTATCATTTTCCTGTTTTGCCATGTGGGCCAATCTGATAGATGCGATGTGGTACCTCAGAGTTGTTTTGATTTGCATTTCTCTAATCAGTAACGATTTAGAGCATTTTTTCATATAGATGGCTTTAATTTCTTCATCTGAGAACCGTCTGTTCATATCCTTTGACCATTTATCAATTGGGGAATGGCTTGTATTCTTATAAATTTGTCTTAATTCTCTATATATTTTAGAAATGAGGCCTTTATCAGAGAGACTGGTTGTAAAAATTCTTTCCCAATTTTCTACCTTCCATCTAATCTTAGTTGCATTGGCTTTGTTTGTGCAAAAACTTTTCAATTTAATGTAATCAGAATTATCCATTTTGCTTTTCATAATGTTCTCTATCTCCTGTTTGGTCATGAATTCTTCTGTTCTCCATAGATCTGATAGGTAAACTATTCCTTGTTCTCCCAGTTTACTTATAGTATCAGCCTTTATATTTTTATATCTAGCCGTTTCATAATTACTCTTCTGAGGGCAAAAGTCTCATGATTGTGGGCCATATTGTATACATTTTTACCATAAATCTGAGCCTAAGAATAACCTGATGTTAATACTTGTCACTGCATAGAACAGTCCAAATGTCCTGGGTTCTTGTCTTTCAATTAATGAGAAGACAGATATTAGAATGAGACTATATTCTCCCAAACAATTGGCCATAGGGAGTTCAGCTCACATAGATATCAGTTTGGGAATCTGACACAGGATATCCTTGCTGACTGGATTACCTAGATCTGATTTAAATCAGAATTCAGTACTAATTAATTTATCTCATTCTTAGAAAATTCAGGACAAATATACCACAACGTCAATCTGCATATGAAACTTTCTCTTGCCTTCAGGACAAACCTGATGACTGAAGGTCTGATGTTCATGGATTTTTTCTCTAGAGATTAGGCATTTGAGTGCTCAAAGTATATGAAGAAGACAATCATTGCTTCTCTCGCAGAGTTCTTACTAATAGGGTATGGCTAATGTGCAATGCCAACATTGTCAGTCAATTTCCGTGTAAAGAGGTCTCCATTTCTCATCTCAGATTGGGTTTGGAGTACAGAACTTTTCCTCCTAGAACAAGCCCTGAGGCACAATTCTTGGCATAAAAGAAATACCATTCTCCCTGGAATCATGAAAGGAGTATGATGCATGCCATAGAAAAGCTTGGTAAAAGAATTGTTGATGTTTGGGTTGAAGAAGAGGTGAGATGAATTAGAGAGGACATGTAACTATGCTCGAATTTTTAAATAACAACTTCATGCAGGAAACACTAAGAATGTTCTACTTAAATCAACATGAAAGAAGTAGGACCAGTGAATCAATGTTCCAAAGAGGCTGACTCAGTTACAAAGTTAAGATAAAAGATTTAATTGGTTTATTTGTCTAAAAGAGGAATGGTCTTTTGGGAGGGACCTGAGTTGTCCCTCCTTGGAAATTTTCAAGCAGAGACTTAGTAATTGCTTTATAGAGATATTGGAGAAAAGATTCTTGATCAGCTTCAGTTTTAGAATTTCATTCACATTTGTTACATTCCATAATGAGGAATTTTGTGACCTAAAATTTTACATTGAAATAATAAGCATTTATCATTTATTATTTATTTATTAAACCTGCTTTGTGTAAGCCATTTATAGTTGCTTCATATATAAATATATTGGAGGATAAATTCCTAGTCTGAAGGAACTTGAATCACCATTTCAGTGTTCTTTCTTTTTCATTTAGATCACCTATGGCCTATTTGATGTTTTCCTGACTGATAAGATTCAGTATCCATACATCTACCAGATGGGCAGCAGAGAATCCTCTCTTTACCTTGCATTCATCAAACTGGTGCTCCATTTTGGCTGGACTTGGGTGGGACTGGTTCTTTCGGATAATGAGAGAGGTGAAAATTTCTTCAGTGTTCTGAAAGAGGAGATGGTCAGGAATGGTCTGTGTGTAGCCTTTAAGGAAAGAGTATCCCCAAAACTTGCATATGATGAGCATTATAATATCGCTTCTAGGATCATTGCATCATCATCAAATGTGATTTTCATCTATGGAGATACAGACTCCCTTCAAGAACTTGTTTTTGTATTTGTTAGTTATGTACCTTATGGGAAGATGTTGGTCGCCACCACTTCTTGGGATTTTTCTTTTGATTCTAATATTGAAACTCTTACCCATTTTCATGGTATACTACTGTTTTCTCATTCCCAGTCAAAGATTCCTGGTTTCACAGATTTTATAAGAAGCCTGAAAACCAGTCAGAACTTGGAGGACATTTTCCTAAAGGCCTTCTTAGAGTCAGCCTTTAAGTGCAGATTTTCAGACAAAAGTCATATAGAAATGTTGCAGTCTATTTGCCCAGAAAGTGTTTCCTTGACAGATTTACATGATATGAAATTTGACACAATCATTATGGAACTGAGTTCTCATGTTTACAATGCAGTACATTTAGTGGCCTATGCTCTCCATCAAATGCTCCAGACAGAGGCAAAAGATACATCAGAACTTCAAAGTAACCCAGAACCTTCTTAGAAGGTAACATTTCTCCTCCATTCTTGGGCTTAGCACAGGGTACTTATAATATTCATTCATTAGTTATCTGTTCATAGATGATGCAGCAATGAGCTGAGTCAACAGTACTACCTCATATTCCCCAACATTTTCTCCTGTCTTTTTTTCATTTGCCTTACATTGAATTTTGGGTGAAAACAATGAAATTACCTCACATGACAGGCATTTATTTCACCTCTGCTATAGCAGCCTTGGTGAAGGTGTTGGTGTTCTTCCTTCTACACATCTCTCTGGGTATGAGTCTATGGGGCAAGAGAGTTTCACTAAATCAGTTCCAATTTCATACCTTTACAGTGATCTGGGTCATGACATTGCAAATGCCAAGGTGTTTTGTGGGATTTCTGATTGATCAATTTTAACTTCTATCAATAGCTATGGCTGAGCAGCATAACTACTATTTGTACTTGGGTATACTTGCTTCAATGATGCATTCATTTTTAAATGTAAAGGAATCTTACTGGCAACTATATCCTAAACATGATTCTTACTGCCTCAAGGAAGTGGTTCCTATAGCACAAATGTTGGGAAACTGGGCACATAGGTAGTAAACATAGCATAGTAGAGTTTATAATATGAGTGGACATCTGGATACAGAATGAACAGCAGTCTAGATTTGGAGAGAGCATATTTGAAACATCTCAGTGAGAAAATATCTGTGGTCTGAAGTTCTATGACATGAGTCATCTCAGGATAAATAGGAAGTTCTAAGACAGTAATTCAGTAGTCAAAAGAGAAATAATTTCAACAAGGCAGAAAAAGAGGCTTTGTTTGTATACAGCAACAATGAGGTGCCAAAAGTTCAACTACCAATTCAGATGTATACATCACATATACAGGAGAAGGAAGAATGGGCATGTAACCGATTATTGAAACAAACATGAAATAGTCCTGTAAGGATAGTTCTAAGGAAACCAGAGATCAAAATTATATGAGTGTGCTGAAAAATGAGGTTAATAGGAAAAATGATTATTTTTACTTCTTGCAGATTTTAGATTGTTTGAAGAAAGAGTAATTGAAAAATAGATGAGAACATAGCTCTGGGTGGTTGGAAACACAATCAATGACAATAGGAAAATGGCTGCTCAATTATTATTTCCTCATTTTATGTTGGAATCAGAATGAGTTTCATAATAGAATAAAAAAGTAAAACACTTGATAGGAAATTGTTTGGTCTGTGTATGAATAAGATAATGAGATCCCTGTAGCCAATATCTCAGCAAAATGAGCTAAATAAATGGACCAGTGGAAGATAGTCAGAACAGGGCAAATATTGATGTAGCCCTAGACCAAGAATTGGATCAATTAAATACAGCTTCTGAGGGCATTTTAAGCTTTGGATCTGTACTCATAAATCAAAGCAAGCCACTTGAGCCTTTTGTGAACTAGCTGTTTTATTGTTTTAATGAAGTTTCTTGTTTGTTTTTCACTTTTTAGAACCAGACAACTCTGATAATTGACATAGTGATGGGTCTAGAGTCAAGAAGACCTCAATTAAAATTCGGCCTCACATATTTAATACCTGTGTGATCTTAGGCAAGACAATTACCCTCTATTTGTAAAAAAAAAAAACCCAGTAATTATTCATATCATAATTATCATCTATAAAATAATTACTAACGGCATAATGTCATGTTATTGTATAACATCTGTAATGTAAAATACATCATAAAATGTACAATTATATAATAATACAAATAGTACTTTCTACTACTTCTATTTCTACTGTTACTTCTACTATTATTACTAGTAGTAGTAGTAATAATATTACCACCACTACTACCACTATTACTACTATAACCATCAAGGCAATTACTACAAGTACTACCATGAAAGCTACAACCAATATTAACCGTAAGATAGCACACTTCCCTTTGAATTCTGGCACAGTTCTAGAATAGATTCTTTTATTTTTTTCTAGAAATCAAAGCTTGATGTATTTTGTTGATCATCGACAAAGAAATAAGATTGTGTAGAGACAAAGTGATGGTTTAAAAAAAGGTAATAATGCAGATTAATCATAGGACAGTGTCATGAGTATTGACTTTTTGGGAAGAGCTACTGGCTTGTGCAGGGATAGCTTTTCTGCACTGCCCTCCACTCCCGATCCAGTGAGACAGACATTTCCTGCAAATCTTTTAAATTGTCTTGGGCTGGAAAATTGTTTCACTCCCTCTTTTTGTTGGTTCTGCCACTCCAGAATTTGTTTTGAGGCATTATTTTTGTTGGGTATTTTAGGGGAATTTGGGAGAGGTCATAAAATCCTATGCTTTATTCTCTCCTCTTGGTTCTGCTCCTCATTCTATTTTTTGAGGTGATATTTCCTTTATTATATTTTGTGTCTCTTTTATTAAGTTGTTTTTCTTGTATCACACTCATTTTTAGCCAAGTTTTTACCTACCACTCACCTCTTCTTCAATTTTTTCAGGAATTCTTGTTATGATTGTGTCTAATTTGAATTTTCATTTATGGTTTTGCTTGTCACTGTTTTAACTCTATTCTCTTCTTTTGATTTGGGGTCTTGATCTTTTTTGCCACCAGAGGAGCATTTTTATAGTCAGATTCTTTTTTGTCATTTGCTCATTTTCCCAGACTATTTCTTGATTTTGAACCTTAACTTAAAGTTGGGCTGTGGGCTTAGGGTGGGTGTGGTGGGCACTGTCTTAAGTGTTAGGCCTTTTTATGCAGTTCTATTAAGAGCTACTTGTGCTGGTCTACATATTATTGGTGCTTCTGAGGTGTTGTTCTCCAGGGAGAAGTGTAGTGACTACATTCTTTGGGATCTGGTCTTTACTGAGGAAGCAAGTCTGTTCGTCTGTAATTGCAAGTAGAAACACTACCCTCTGGCTTTCAACTGTGACCAGGTCTGCTGCTCCCCTACAGCCTTAAGGCCTCATGCCCCTCTCTGCCATGGAAAGTCTCTGGGCTGAGTTCCTTAAGCTGTTGCAGCTGCTGTTACAGCTACCTCCAATGCCCACTGCTATTATTTCTAAAGTGTCTCATCCGGTTTAGGCCCCAATGAGATGTCACAGACCTCTCCTTCCAACCTTGTAAGTTGTTTTGGGCTGAGAAAATGCCTCATCATGACCTTTTATTGGCTATGCTGCTCCAGAATTTGATATGATGTGTGTTTGGAGGGGAATGTTGAGAGAATTCAGCTGGGTTGCTGCCTCTAGTCTGCCCTCCTGGCTCTGCCTCATAAGTAATTTTTAATGAGCTAATTTAAATGACCTTCTTTTATTTAGACAGGAGAATTAAAGATCATTTACTCTCCCTCTTCCCCCATTTTCTTCATTATCTTGAACTTTATGTGAGACACTCATTATAGGACACACTAAATATTCCCAGCCATGCTTCCTTCATTCCTGTCCAAAGTTCTTTTTATTCCTTCCTGTCAGATATACTGATCAATTCTCTGTTGTTGTCTCTTTATATGTCTCTGGTACCTTAAAGGGAACATAATAATTTCCCCCCTATGACTGACTTTTTAATTCTTTGATTATCCACCTTCAAGAAATTTACTAAGGACACTTTGTCTTAGAAATGCCCAAGTTTTTGGAAGCTTTGCCCCATTTCTGGAATTTCTGGAATTCTCAAGGTTTATATACTTACATATATATGTATACACACAAACATAAACACAAAAGTGTACACAAATACAATTACATATAATAGTTTGACTAGATAGAGAATTTGGTACTGAAAGCTTAGTTTATCTGATTTTTTTCTGTATTATATTTTGTTTGCTTTTCTTATTTATAGTTCTGGATTAGAGAATTTGTATGACATAAGTTTGCTTTCTTACATGTATTCCTTCTTGATTTTGTACCACAATTCCAAACTTGCCTGTTATACTAATTCTCTTTTGATTTCCTACTTTAGTCTTCCTATCACCTATGATGAATGTCACATCTTTGTGTGTGTGCCTGTGTGTGTCTGTGTGTGTCTGTGTGTTATTTGTAGATGTTGCAGGTCTTCATAGAACTGATTAACTTTCACCTCTTTGGCAACATTGTTATGTTGAGCCGTTTGCCTTGGATTCCAATAGATATCATTTCATCATATTTGAGATGATATCCTAATATTATTTTTCTCATCCTTTTATTTACTACAAGGGCCACTCCATTTCCTCTAAGGGATTGTTACCCACAGTAGTATATGTGAAGATTACTTGAATTAAACTTTGTTAACAAAGGTCTGTGTAGTCAAAGCTATGGTTTTAGATAGATGCTACCTATCATTTTAAGGAAGATTCCATTTATTCCTCTGCTCTCTAGTATTTTATAGGAATTGGTGTTGTATTTTGTCAAAAGCATTTTCTGCATCTATTGAGATAATCACATGATTTCTGTTCTTTTAGTTATTGATATGGTCAACTATACTGATAGTCTTCCTAATATTGAACCAGCTATGCATTCCTGGTATAAATTCTACCTGGTCCTAGCGTATTATCCTTGAGATAAGTTGCTGTGATCTCTTTTCTAATATTTTATTTAAATTTTTTGCATCAATATTCATTAGGGAAATTTATCTATAATTTTCTTTCTCCCTTTTGGCTCTTCCCAGTTTACATATCAGCACCATATCTGTATAACAAAAAGAATTTTGTAGAACTCCATCTATTCTTCCAAATAGTTTATATAGCATTGAAATTACTTATTTTTAGAATAGTTGATAGAATTCACTTGTAAATCCATCTGGCCCTGTAGATTTTTTCTTAGGCAGTTCATTGATGGCCTGTTTAATTCCTTTTTCTGAAATTGGGTTATTTAAGTATTTTATTTCCTCTTATGCTGATCTGGCCAATTTATATATTTGTAAATATTCATCTATTTCAGTAAGATTGTCACATTTATTGACATACATTTGGGCAAAATAGCTCCTAATTTTTGTTTAGATTTCCTCTTCATTGCTAGTGAATTCATCCTTCTCATTTTTTGATACTGGCAATTTGGTTTTCTTCTTTC